TGCTCAGGCTGTTCAGTCATAGGGTCACTATGAGTCGTCTATGAGTCGATGGCATATTTTATTAATTTTAATGAACATTTACAGAGATTTTGGATTTCCATTCATTCATTGTTACATTTTCTCCTGCCTACCCCTCCCCTCCAGTTTGCTCTTCTCTTTGAAAAGAAAAAAGAAAAGTTCCTTCATTGGTATACAATCCCCCATCCCCCCTCACCCCCCACCCTGAGTACACTCCACTCCACAACCTTCATTCTGGACTTCTGTGATAACCGTAATACCCTATCATATATCACTTTTAATATGTTCTCTCCCTCATCTGTGTCTATAGCTTTTCTTTCACTAACCTGTAGTTTTATATTTTGATGAGTCTCTTCAGTGAGTCCATGTTACCTGCATAGATTGTGCTTTTGTTTTCATAGCTAAGAACTCTTTACCCAGATTCCCAAGTATCCCCTTTACCTGTATTTTCTTTTAAAAGTTTTATAGTTTCGCATTTTACATTTAAATCTATGAGACACTGTGAGTTCATTTTTGTATAAGTGAAGATCACAGGAAAGCTCATTATTTTCCCTTTTTAAAAAATGTTTTTATTTGTTCTTATAAGCATTTTCTTTTTTAATAAGTTTGCTTACAAAATCCGTATATTGTGTTTCATACTATTTGTTCATTCATATTTTGTTTTGTACAATCATTTCCATGCATTGTTTTATAAAATTAATCACCATCGGACCTTGCCCCTCATTACCCTGTCTTTTCACCCAGATCCTTCTCATTTCCTTCACCCACTAAACCATGCACCCCTGCCCATCCACACCACTCTGCTCCTACCCCTTCCTCGCCTTGGGTTCTTGTGTTACTAGTTGTCCTTCTATTTTTACAATCTTAGTTTTATGCAGTGTTTGTCCTTATGAGACTTCATTAGTTCACGCAACATAATGCTCTCCAGACTCTCCCAAGTTATGTAATATTTTTCAAAATCATTACTCCTGAGTGCTACATAGTATTCCACTATATGAATATACCACAATTTCTCAATCCATTCAGTTGTGGTTGGACATTTGGGCTGACACTTTCTTGAAATTCACTAAATGTGTTGATCCCATTTTAAAAAAAGCAGGTGACTCTTTAACATTGCTTCCTACTTCATTTCTGAAATTGGCAGAGGCTTTTTATTATTCCTTTCTTTAACCATTCTGACCAGAGGTGTATCATTCCTAATAATTTTATTATTCTTTTTCTGAGAGCTAATAGTTATTTTATTTTTTCCCCTGTATCCCTCTTTGTTAGCTTTTCCCCACCTCTTCTTTCCTTGAATTTTAATATTCCCCCTCTACTTAGCTAGAAGAGCAATGGTGTCTCTCTGGAGACTAAGGTGCATTTGATACAGGCTATGGTCTTCGCAATCACTTGTTTTGCATCAGAGAGTTGGACAATGGCCAAGGAGGACAGAAGGAGAATTGATGCCTTTGAGCTGTGGTGCTGGAGAAGAGTATTGAGAGTACCATGGACTGCTAGGAAAACAAACAGATTCAACCTGGAAAGGGTTAAACCGGGTGGCTCTTTGGAGGCAAGGATTCTGAGGCTCCGTCTAACATACTTTGGACATGTTGTAAGAAGAGACTGGTCCTTGGAGAAGGACATCATGCTGGGGAGGCTGGAGGGACAGCGCAGGCGGGGAAGGCCCACTATGAGGTGGATTGATTCAGTGACTGGGGTTATCAGGATGGGTGTATCAGAGACGGTGCGATTGGGACAGGACAGAGCAGAGTTTAGGGCTGTTGTACATAGGGTCGCTATGAGTCACAAGCAACTCGACGGCACATAACAACAACAACTTAGCCAGAATGTTTTCTGTCATATCGTAAAAAACATAAGTTATCATTTTTAGTGGCTAGAGCAGCTTTAACCTTCTTTTTCTAATTTAAGGATTTCTTTTGAATGAGGCCATGGCTAAACTGTACACTTAGTCTCAGCTTTGTGACAGGCAGCCTTGTGTTTGTGAACTCAAGTCTGACAGGCCATGGGACACATGGCACCACTGGACGTGGTGGGGAATTATTACGCTCTGATGCTGAGGTGTCTGTAAACTGGGTGGGCATCAGGTTGGTGTCTCTGATTGATGGTGTGTCCCTCTCTGTCCCCAGAGCCTGCAGCGGTGTTTGCCAAGCAGCAAGCAGCACAGAGCAAGGTGCAGGCCGAGGCGGGGGCCAGCGCCACGCTGAGCTGTGAGGTGGCCCAGGCCCAGACAGAGGTGATGTGGTACAAGGCTGGGAAGAAGCTGAGCTCGAGCTCGAAGGTGCGCATGGAGGCCACGGGCTGTGCTCGGCGGCTGGTGGTGCAGCAGGCGGGCAAGGCGGACGCCGGGGAGTACAGCTGTGAGGCCGGGGGCCAGAAGGTCTCCTTCCACCTGGACATCACAGGTGGGTGACCATTAGCTTTCTTTGAGGAAAATGATGGAACTGACTTGTTCCCTCAATGAGCTTGGAGTTTGCACGTCCAAGACTTCATGCCATTTTGTCTCTTGTCCTCCCACCATCACATATTCCTGCCTGCCATTGGGAGGAGAGGGAGCTGTCTTGGAAGGGTGTGTACTGAAGGAGGAGGGGCTGTTCTTCCCCTCCTGTGGGTCTGGGAAGGAATGGACTCTGCCCAGGACCCTCCTTGTCTCTCTGGTCCCAGGACTCTGGTTGTGTCTGGTGCTTGGGGTGTGAAGCGGACAAGGTATCTCTCATCTGGGTTATGTGACTATATCTCCCTGTTGGCTGGTCTGGCAACAGGCACACACCCTCATCCAGCACCACATGGCACCTCACTAGCAAGGATATTTAAATCCTTTGGGTCCAGGGAAGGGAGATTTGGACCACCCAGTTACATTTTCTCAAGTCTGATCTTTGAATTGTCACTGTCTGGGTGTTCTGGGCCCCTCCTGTTTCCTTTAAGGAACTGTGGAAGCCCTCTGTGCACCTCAGTGAGTGAAATCTTCATCTAAGATCTCAATCTAAGGTCTGTTTAAAGCAAATGCAGACAAGAATATTGCTAGGTATGTTTCTGTGTAATCTGGAATTACCTTTTTTAAAAAAAATTGTATTTTTTCACTTTATTAGAAAATGTTAGAACATTTTGTGGGAGAATTCCTTGAGAGGCAAGAAGGGAATAAGTAGTTTATGTCACCTTAGCTGTCTAGTTCATGATGCTTTGCTGTCGCAGCAGCCACTCATTGACTGTACTGCCATGGCTGGTTCATGGAAAAGTCTGGAAATGCACTTTGTTTTCCTCTGGTTGAGAGGCTGGAGATCAAGGTGGGATGTATTCCTATATCTGAACACTAGGGGTTGTGACATGTTCATATTGTGTCTGTATACGGTAAAGCCTTGTGGATAGAAACACTGAACACCTTGAGATACATAGATCCTGAGCCTTATTGTAGCAAAATATTTGCTACTGTAATTTTATACAAATATTTTAATATTTTGTTAAGTTAAACACTTTATAGGAAAACTTGGAACTTGAGAAGGAATAGGCAACTCAGTTGGCAGCGTATTCAGATAATGGATCCAAGAGTTAACAGTCTTCTTACACAGCCAATAAAAGCAGACATGTACTATTCTGGAAAGAAGTTATCCCAAGCTTATGGGAAAATTGTACAGAGAATTAAAACACACACACACACGCGCGCGCACACACACGCACACCATTTTTCAGCATTTTAAATGTAACTGTTTCTGTGGTATGCCATCGAGTTGCTGATCTTCCAGTGGGCTTTCAGAGACAGTTAATCATATAAGAAGAGATTGTCCATCCTTATCCCAGGGAGCAGCTGGTGGATTTGAACCACATGCCTTTTTTTTTAAATTTAGGTTGTTTATTTTTCATTTCAATGAACATCTACAGAGATTTTGGGATTCCATTCATTCATTGTTGCACCCTTCTCCCCGCACAAACCCCTCCCCCACATACCTTTTGAATTGCAGCATCGCTTCTTACCACTAGGCCACCAGAACTGTGCAGTCAGAACCAATCCATAGTCCATAGGTGACCTTTTCAGAGGCTGTAGATCACACAAAGGAGATGGCCCATCTTTGTCTTGCAGAGCAGCTAGTGGATGTGAGCTGTCTGCCTTTGGGTTGGCTCGATTCCTTACCCACTAAGCCACCAAGCTAGCTTAATAATAATGATGACAGAATCTGATGAGTTAAAATAGAAGGATAAGCTGCACTGCAATCCCAGAGGTACGCGGTTCGAATCCACCAGATGCTCTGCTGGAGGAGGAGGGCAATCTCCTCCTGTACCAGACAGATATGACTTGATGGTACACACACAAAAATAATAATAATAACCACTCCCCCCAAAAAAATGGAAGGATAACTAATAAGATGTATGTTCAAAGGGAAGGGATGGGAGGGGTCAGAGGAGGTGAGAATAGGGAGGGGTAAATCTCGAGATCATAGAGTTTGGTGGGCAGAGGGAGGGGATGAAGGAATTAGAAAAGATCCTGAAAATACAAGGTGATAGTGGGTATAGATAGATCAGTTGTGATTGATGTTATAGAACACAATGTGTGGGGATGACCATATGAAAAACAGTGTGAAATGTGATATATGGGAATGAAACACAATGTACATGAATTCTGTATGTATACCATATAAAGTAAAAAGAAAGTAAAAAAACACAATAGAAGATTAAAAAAAATTATAGGCCAATCTCGTATGTGTATGAATATCAGTATCCAAAAGAAAATTTTGGCGAAATGAATTTAGTAACATAATAGGAGGATAATGCACTGGGCTACGGACACAGCCCAGAGGAGCTGCGTTTGGTTTGGTAGTTCAGCCCCTACCGGTGAGAGCACAGGAGCCTCTTGAGATTTACAGCCTCAGATACTCAGCCAGTCAGCCCTGACTTACTGACAGTGAAATGAGAATGCTATGAAACAGTTTAAAGAGATAGTAAATAAGGAGGTAAATTAATGAGATAAAAGTTCTGTAGCTGCTTTAGAGATGTCCATTCTCAGGCAAAATCCAAACTAAAGATTCTCGCCTGCTCACCAATGGGGTAGGATTGAAACTGGTATACTGATTCCAAGGATCAAGTTCAGTTATCAAACTCTTGAAGAAAACAGAGTGTTTGCTGTATCCAAAGTGCTTGTGGATACTAAAACTCATTATAAAGATAGAGCAATTGAAACAACAGAGCCTGAATGTTGGGGTAGATACACAGACCAGAGGCACAGAAAGTGAGTAGCAGACCTATGAGTAACTGGATGACTTTCCATTTCCTGCACCACCACCCCCATCCCTGGCACTTGTGTTAAAAGTACAAAAAATACGTTTTTTCTTTAATGGTGATTGTCTCATATACTGTTGTTATTATGTTCCATCAAGTCGCCTGTAACTCAGTGACTCTATGTACAACAGCCCTAAATCCTGCTCTATCTGGTGTCAATCTTACTGTTTCTGACACACCTACCCCTGTTACCCCCGTTATTGTATCAGTCCATCTTATCTAGAATCTTCCTGTTCTGTGCTGTCCCTCCACCCTTCCAAGTATGATGTCTTTCTCTAAATACTGGTCTCTCCTGGCCACATGACCAAATATGTGAGATGGAGCTTCAAAATCCTAGCCTTCAAGGAGAAACTTGGCTTCACCCTCTCCAAGATAGACCTGTTTGTTCTCTTGGTGGTCCATGGTATGTTCATGACTCTTCTCCAACACCACAATCCAAAGGCATCGATTCTCCTTCTGTCACCCTTAGTCATTGTTCAGCTCTGATACATAGCAAGTAACTGCAAAGACCATGGCCTGGATCAGGCGCACCTTAGTCTCTCAGACTGTCTCAGACTGACATCATTGCTTCTCAGTACACTGGAGAGGTCTCTGACTACAGATTTTTTTCCAGTGTAATTCGTCTTTTGATTTCCTGACTGCTGGTGCCAAGAATGTTGATGCTGGGGCCGAGCAAGCTGTAACTGTTAACAACCTCAGTCTCTTCTCCATCTATCATGGTATTGTCACTTGGTCTAGTGGTGTGAATCTTTGTCTTCTTGATGTTGAGCTTCAGTCCATAAAGAAGACTGCAGTCCTTGATCTTCTACAGCAAGTGTTTCAGGTCCTCAGTTTCAGCAAGCAAGGGTGTGTGATTTGCATGTGATCACACCTGTGATAGCAGGGTGTTGATAAGTCTTCCTCCAATCCTGATACCACATCCCTCTTCATAAAGTCCAGCCTCCTGAATGATCTGCTCCGTATACAGATTGAAAGGGAATGGAGACAGGACACATCCTTAAAATGCACTCCTTTCCTGATTTTGAACTATGCAGTGTTTCCTTGCTCTGTTCTGAGACTACTTCCTGGTCTGAATATAGGTTTTGCATAAATTTCACATCATTTATTTTTCTTTTTAAAAAGTTTTATTTTATACTGGTTTGCACACACAATTTGTGTACATTGTGTTTCACATTTCCCCTCATTCACGTTGTGTTTCATACAATCATTCCCATACACTGTGTTTTATAAAACTAATCCCCATTTAATTTTGCCCGCCATTACCCCGTCTTTTTTTATTTCCTCATGGCTGGTGCCAAGAGTGTGGATCCAGCAAGATAAAATTGTTAACAATGTCATCTCTTCTCCATCTATCATAATGCTACCATTGGCTTGGTGGTGAGAATCTTTGTTTTCTTGGTGTTGAGAAGCAACTACATTAAATACTGCAGTCCTTGACCTTCTGCAGCAAACATTCTGGTCCTCCTCTGTTTCAGCAAGCAAGGTTGTATTATCTGCATAAATGCAGATGACTCCATTCACTCTATCAATCCACTTCATAGAGAGTCTTCCTCTTCTGTGCTGTCCCTCTGCCCTCCCAAGCACGACGTCCCTCTCCAAGGATTGGTCCCCTCTTGCAACATGTCCAGAGTATGTCAGATGAAACTTCAGAATCTTTGCCTCCAAGGAGCAGCCTGGTTTAACCCTCTCTAGGATGAACCCATTTGTTCTCTTAGCAGTCCATGGTATATTCAATATTCTTCTCTTTAACACCACAGCTCAAAGGCATCAATTCTCCTACTGTCATCTCTAGTCATTGTCCAACTCTCTGATGCATAACAAGTGATTGCAAAGACCATGGCCTGTATTTGGCACACCTTAGTCTCCAGAGTGGCATCATTGCTCTTCAGTACTTTAGAGTGATCCCTAACAGCAGACTTCCCTGTCACAATGCGTCTTTTAATTTCCTGCCTGCTGGTGCCAAGAATGTTGATTATGGAGCCAAGAAAACTAAAGCTGTTAATCTCAATCTCTTCACTATTTATCATGATGATGCTAACTGACCTAGTGATAAGAATCTTTGTTTTCTTGATATTGAGCCTCAATCCATATTGAAGGCTGTGGTCTTCTGCAGCAAGCGCTTCAAGTCTTCATCAGTTTCAGCAAGCAGGGTGTGTCATCTGCATAACGCAAATTGTCGATGAATCTTTCTCTGATTCTGATGCCACATTTCTCCTCATAGAACCCAGCCTCCCAGATAATCTATTCCACATATAGATTGGAAAGGTATGGAGATAGGACACATCCCTGGTGTACACTCTCCCCAATTTTGAATCATGCAAGGTCCAAGTATATGTTTTGCATTAGCATGATCAAGTGTTCTGGGATTCTCATTCTTCTCAGAGTTAGCCACTGTTTGTTGTGATCCACACAGTCAAATGCCTCTGCATAATCAGTGAAACACAGACATTCCTCTGGTATTCCCTGCTTTCAGCCAAGATCCATCTAACATTAGCTACAATATCCCTAGTACCACAATTCCTCCTAAACCCATCCTGCATATCTGGCCATTTTCTGTTGACGTGTTGCTCCAGTTGTTTTTGCATGATCTTCAGCAGAATCTTGCTTGCATGTGATATTAATGATATTGTTCAATAATTTCCACACTCTGTTGGATCACCTTCCTTTGGAATGGGAATAAATATAGATCTCTTCCAGTCATTAGGCCAAGTGGTTTTCCTCCAAATTTCTTGACACAACTTGGTGAGCACATCCAGGCAACACCTGACATTGTGGTCTGAAGGTAAAAAGCTGGCACTGCAATCCTCAAGGCTCCTGGTTCAAATCCACCATTTACTGCCTCTGGAGGACAGCTATGAATGAGTTCTTACTTGAGGGCACACAACAACAACAACTCATGTACTATAAGGAAAAAAACAAAACAAAACAAAACAAAACAACACCAAACCCTTTCCTTAAGAAAACCAAACAAACCACCAAATCAAAATACCAAAACCCACACACAAAAGGAAACTTACTAGTTATATATCACATGTAAAACAGAAAGAAAATAGAGCCCCATCTTTATACCAAACACAAAAATAAGATAGTTAGTGAGTTAGCCCTCAGTATGCTAGGTAAAATAATGTAGGAAGGGAAAAAATTTCTTAACCAGATTCTTTAAAGAGGACATTAAATACATCAACTTGCACTTTGATTAATGTTACTGTATAGAATCTTTGATCAAAATATTCAGTAATTGTATCTCAAAACCTTCTGGGTTTTGGACACAAGTCTTCCTTCAGTTTCTGAATTCTTCCTCTACTGCCCTAGGCAAATGGAGACCAGCTGTTTATGATAAATGGCTCTCAGCAAGCTTTTACATTCCCAGGCACTAACAGAATTTCATGAAACAACATAAGACCAAGAGTCAGTAGTGATGAAGGAGGAAATTCAAGCTGCTCTGAAGGAATTGGCCAAAAACAGGCCTCAAGAATTGATGGAATTCCAAATGACATGTTTCAAAAAAATAGATTCAGCCCTGGACATGTTCACCAGCTTGTGCTCAGAAATCTGGAGAACAGCTATCTGGCCAACTGATTGGAAGAGATCCATATTTATTCCTATTCCTAAAATAGGTGACTCAACAGAGTGTGTAAATAATCAAACAGTATTACTAATATCACATGCAGACAAAATCCTGCTAAAGGTTATCTAAAACTCCTGGAGCAGTACATTGACAGAGAACTGCCAGAAACACAAGCTGGGTTTAGAAGAGGCCGTGACACTAGGGACATCACTGCCAATGCCAGATGCATGGATCTTGCCTGAAATCAAAGAGTATCAGAAGGATGTCTATTTGTGTTTTATTTACTATACAAAGGCATTTGACTGTGGATCACAACAAGTTTTGCATAACCTTGAGGAGAATGAGAATCCCAGAACACTTGATTGTGCTCATGCAAAACCTATACTCAGACCATGAAACAGTCCTCAGAACAGAGCAAGGAAACACTGCATTGTTCAAAAATAGGAAAGGAGTGCATCAGGGATGTGTCCCTTGTCTCCATACCTTTTTAATCTATGTATGGAACAGATAATTTGGGAGGCTGGGCTCTATGAGGAGACATGTGACATCAGGATTAGAGGAAGACTCATCAACAAGCCTGCATTTATGCAAATAACACAACCTTGCTTGCTGAAACGGAGAAGGACCAGAATATTTGCCGCAGAAGGTCAAGGACTGCAGTATTTAATGTAGTTGCTTCTCAACATCAAGAAAACAAATATTCTCACCACCAAGCCAATGGCAGCATTATGATAGATGGAGAAGAGATGACATTGTTAACAATTTTATCTTGTTCATATCCACAGTCAACAGTCTTGGCACCAGCTGTGAGGAAATAAAAAAGATGGGGTAATGGCGGGCAAAATTAAATGGGAATTAGTTTTATAAAACACAGTGTATGGGAATGATTGTATGAAACACAATGTGAATGAGCGAAAATGTGAAACACAATGTATACAAATTGTGTGTGCAAACCAGTATAAAATAAAACTTTTTAAAAAGAAAAAGAAATGAGTTGCATTGGGAAAGTCTGCTGTTGGGGACCTCTCTAGAGTGCTAAAGAGTACGGATGTCATTCTGGAGACTAAGGTTCACCTGATTCAGGCCATACTCTTCGCAATTAATTGGTCTGGTTCAGAGAGTTTGATGGTGACTGAGAATGACAGAGCAGAATAGATGCCTTTCATTTGCGGTGCTGTAGAAGAGTATTGAACATACTGTGCACTGCCAAGAGAACAGGTCTGTCCTGGAAAGGGTGAAGCACGTTGCTCCTTGAAGTCAAAGGTTTTGAAACTCAGTCTCACATACTTTGGATATGTTGCCAGAAGAGATCAGTGCTTGGAAAAGGACACCATGCTTGAAAGGGTAGAGGGTCAGTGCAGGAGAGTTAGACACTGGATGAAATGGATTGACACAATAACTGGGGTAATGGGAGCAAGTGTGTCAGAGACAGTGAGATTGTTTCAGGATAGGACAGGGATCAGAGTTACTGCTCATACATGGTCACTGTGAGTTGCAGTTGACTTAATGACACATAATACCACCACCAAATAATGAATTAGGAGGTAGAACAAAACACTAAAAACAACACCGGGCAGCTGGCTGAGATGTCCCTTGAAACCATGTCCCTATACTTCTAAATCAAGAAAAGGAATCCCACAAGGTGTTCGATTGTATGTACACAGCATCAGCAGCTTGTCTTTCCATGTTGTCACTATTAGAATGCATGTGACAAAATATGCCTGTCAATATCACCTTTCTCAGATGTACAACTCTTTTGGTAGTAATTTTATTACTCATGTTGTATAACCAACAAGGAGGTCACAATAGTAGTTATGTTTGAGAGAAGGTCAGTGGTAACTAGAGGACTAGAAATAGTCCATGTTTGATATATGTGATGGTTGCTTGGGTTTTGTGTAAGTAAACATCGCTGAGCTACAAACCCAACATTAGAATTTTACTCTGTAAATGAAGGCCTTTTTAGTAGACTGGCTTAGGACAGGGCAGGCTTCAGAGCTGTTGTATATAGGGTCGCTATGAGTTGCAGGTGACTCAATGACAAATAACAACAACTAGACAGACATACCATGTGACATATAGTAGGGCTACGTTAATAAAAAAGACCTTCATGCCCGTCCATTGCTCACAGTCAGATGGGAAAGAACAGATTAGTTGCAGAGGCAAAAACAGTCTTACCCATTTTCCTCTAACCCAAGAACTGCTCTTGGGTGAGACTGTGGTCAAACTACACACTTGCAGCTTTGTGACAGATATCCTTGTGTTTGTGAATTCTGATCTGACAGGCCATGGGACACGTGGCACCACTGGGCGTGGTGGGGAATTATTACGCTCTGATGCTGAGGTGTCTGTAAACTGGGTTGGCATCAGGTTGGTGTCTCTGATTGGTGACGTGTCCCTCTCTGTCTCCAGAGCCTGCAGCGGTGTTTGCCAAGCAGCAAGCAGCACAGAGCAAGGTGCAGGCCGAGGCGGGGGCCAGCGCCACGCTGAGCTGTGAGGTAGCCCAGGCCCAGACAGAGGTGACGTGGTACAAGGCTGGGAAGAAGCTGAGCTCCAGCTCGAAGGTGCGCATGGAGGCCGCGGGCTGTGCTCGGCGGCTGGTGGTGCAGCAGGCGGGCAAGGCAGACGCTGGGGAGTACAGCTGTGAGGCCGGGGGCCAGAAGGTCTCCTTCCACCTGGACGTCACAGGTGGGTGACCATTAGCTTTCTTTGAGGAAAATGATGGAACTGACTTATCCCCTCAATGGCCTTAGAGTTCCCTCTCCTTGGACATCATGTCTTCTTGTCTCCCATCCTCCCACCATCCCATATTCTTTCCTGCAGTTGGGAGCAGAGGGAGCTGTCTTAGAAGGGTGTGTACTGAAGGAAGAGGGGCTGTTCTTCCCCTCAGGTGGTTATGGGGAGGAATTAATCACACACTCCCAGACCCTGCCCAGAACCCTCCTTGTCTCTCTGGTCCCAGGACTCTGACTGTGTCTGGTCCTTTAAGTGTGAGATAGATCAGGTGTCTGTCACCTGGGAAATGTAAGTATCTTCCTGTTGTCTGGTCTGGAACGTTCACAGGCCCTCATCCAGCACCACATGGGCACCTCACTAGCAAGGATATTTGAATCTTATTGAATCAGGGAGGAGGAGACTTGGACCATCCAATCATTCTGGCTTTTTCTCAAGTCTGATCTTTGAATTGTCACTGTCTGGGTGCTCTGGGCCCTTTTTGTCTTCCATTAAGGAAGTGTAGAAGCCCTCTGTGCACCTGTATGCACAAAATCTCAATCTACATGTTCTTTTAAGGTCCGTGCAAAGCAAATGCAGACTGGTGGATTGCTAGGCATGCTCCTATGAAATCGGAAACTCTTTCAAAAGCAAATGGATTTTTTTCTCTATCCTCAGAGTGTACAGTGTAAAAGTCCTCTTGGAGTTAATGAAGAGATAGTTTACACCACATTAGCTTCCTTGATGATGATGTGTTTAGCAGCAGCCTCTCACTGACAATACTGCCATGCCTCGTTCACAGAAAAGTCTGAAAAGGCATTTCCTTCAGAGGCTGTTAGGGTAAGATGGGGTTCCACACTTGAACACTAGGGGTCAATACTCAACACATGTTCATATTGTATCAATGTACAGTAATGCTTTGTGCATATAAATGGCAAACACCTTGAAATACATATCCTGGACTTTATTGTAGCTAATATTGCCAAAAACCTTTTCCAAATAATATTGAAGAGGTTTTTTTTTTAAGATGATGAAATGAACATCTGTAACAGTTATGTTGTTGTTGTGTATCATAGAGCTGGAACCTACAGATACTTATCCTCCAGAAGGTTTTTGGAGGCAGTTTAATCGCATAGGAGGAGATTGCCTATCATTCTCTCATGCAGCAGTTGGTGGATTTGATCTGCATGTGTGTGGGATTGCAGCATTACTTCTTGCCACTAGGCCACTAGAGCTATAGCCATTAAAATTATGGCCCTATGAAATGAAAAAATATTTTCACAAAATAAGTTAAAAGCATGTACATATTATTTTACAAGAGGATTACTCTGTGTTTTTGGAGAATCTTACAAAGAATACAAAAATAATACATTTTTCAATTTTTTTCCTTGTTGTGTACTGTTGAATCAGATCCAACTGGCACAGAAGGAGATTGCCCCTCCTTCTCCAGTAGAGCAATCTAGTGGATTTGAACTATGCACCTTCAGGATTGCAGCACAGTTTCTTGCCTCCAGGCCACCAGAGCTCCCTGTTTTTCAGTTTTTTTAATTTGTGTAATTAGCTTCCACCTGAATCTCAAAACCATCTCAGAAACAGGGTTGAAGCCTTGAACATTAATGAATGAAGACCAAATGAGCTTTGGGAGGATATCAAGAATATTATCCATGAAGAATGCAAAAGGTCATTACAAAGATAGAGGAGGAAGAAAAGACTGAGATGGATGTCAGAAGATACTCTGAATTTTATGCTAGCACCAAGAAGTCAAAACAAAGGGAAGACATCAAGAAGTTAAGGGGGCTTAATAGATGATTTCAAAGAACAGCACAGGAAGACAAACCAAAGTATTTTAATGGAATGGGCAAAGAGCTAGAGTTAGAAAATCAAAAGGGCCAAACTCGCTTGGCATTTCTTAAGCTGAAGGAACTGAAGAACAAATTCAAGCCTTAAGTTGCAATACTTAAGGATGTTATGGTCAGAATATTAAGTGATCCAGGAAGCATTAAAAGAAGATGGAAGGAGTATAGAGTCACACTGTACCAAAAAGAAGAATTTAATGAAATAACAATGATCAAAAGGTGGCGATATTGAAGGAGGAAATCCAAGCTGCTCTGAAAGAATTGCTTAAAAACAAGGCCTAGGAATTGCCTTAATACCAATAGACATATTTCAGCAAACAGATGCTGTCTTGGGCGTACTTACCAGGTTGTGCCAATAAATGTGGAGGACATCTACCTGGGCAACTGATTGAAAGAGATTCATATTTGTTCCTTTCCCCTAAAAAAGTGATCTGACAGAATGTAAAAATTATTGAACAATTTCACTGATTCCACACAAAAGCAAAATCCTGCTGACAATGATCTAAAATGACTCGAACAGTACATTGAAAGAAATAGTACATTGACAGAACAGTACCCCAGAAATACAAGCTGGATTTATAAAAGGTAATGGCACTAGAGATATTATTGCCAATGTTGGAGGGATTTTGGCTGAAAGTACCAGAGAAATGTCTATCTGTGTTTCATTGACTACGCAAAGACATTTAGCTGGGTAAATCATAACAAACTGTGGCTACCTTTGAGAAGAATGAGAATCCCAGAACACTTGATTGTGTTCATTTGAAACCTATACTTGGACAGGAGGCAGTTGTCAGAACAGAGCAAGGAAACACTACATGGTTCAAAATCAGGAAAAGAGTGTGTCAGGGATGTGTCAGGTTTCTATACCTTTTCAATCTGTATGCGGAACCGATCACTTGGGAGGCTTGACTTTATGAGGAGGAATATGGCATCAGAATTGGAGGAAGACTCATCAACAACCTGCGTTATACAGATGATACAACCTTGCTTGGTGAAACTGAGGAGGGCCTGAAGTGTTTGTTGTGGAAGGTCAAGGACTATAGTATTCAATATGGATTGAGGCTCAACATCAAAAAACAAAGATTCTCACAAATTGGTCAATTGACAGCACCATGATAAATGGAGAAGAGATTGAGGTTGTTAGCAGTTGCTCAGTTCCACAATCAACACTCTTAGCACCAGAAGTCAGGAAATCAAAAGACGAATTTCTATTGGGAAGTTTGCTGTCTAGTACCTCTCTAGAGTACTAAGGAACAACAATGTCAGTTTAGAGAAGAAGATGTGCCTGATCCAGGCCAGGGTCTTTGCAATTACATGCTATGCGTTAGAGATCTGGACAGTGACTAAGGATGACAGAAGAAGAATCAGTGCTTTTGAGTTGTGGTGCTGGAGAAGAGTACTGAATGTAACAGGGACTGCCAGGAGAACCAGTAGGTCCATCTCGGAGAGGGTGAAACAAAGTTTCTCCTTGGAAGCAAAGATTTTGAAGCTCTGTCTCACATACTTTGGGCATGTGGCTAGGAGGGACCATCTCTGGAGAAGGACATCATACTTGGAAGGGTTGAGGGACAGCGCAGGAGAGGAAGACCCTGGATGAGATGGGTTGGCAAGATAACTGGGGCAATGGCGTTAGGTGTGTCGGAGTTAGTGAAACTGGCTCGGGATAGTGCAGACTTTATAGCTGTTATACTTAGTATTGCTGTGAGTTGCAGGCAATTTGTTGACACATAACAACAAGAACAACAATGATGAATTAAAAGTATAGGCCAAATGTCATATGGGTTTATGCAAAATCCTCAGAACAGAGCAGGGAAATGCTACAGGTTTCAAAATCAGGAAGGGAGTGCATCAGAGATGCATCCTGTCTCCATACTTTTTCAATCTCTTTGCAGAACAGATCATTTGGAAAGTTGGGCTTTATGAGGAGAAATGTAGCGTCAGGTTTGGAGGAAGATTTATCAACAAACTATGTTATGCAGATGACACAACCTTGCTTACTGAAAGTGAGGCAGGCCTGAAGTGCTTGCTGCAGAAGGTCAAGGACTGTGTAGTCTTCAATATGGATCAAAGCTCCTTCAGAAGATGGAGATTCTCACCACTAGGGCAAATGGCAGCACTATGATGGATGGAGAAGAGATTGAGGTTGTTAACAGTTACAGCTTACTTGACTCCATAATCAGCACTCTTGGCACCAGCAGTCAGGAAATCAAAAGATGAACTGCATTAGGTAAATCTACTCTCAGCGACCTCTCCAGAGTACTTGAGAAGCAATGATGTGGAACAGATCAGAGACTAAGATGCACCTGATCCAGTCCATGATCTTCGCAGTTACTTGCTATGCATTAGAGCTGGATAATGACTAAAGATGATAGGAGAAGAATTGATGCCTTTGAGTTGTGGTGCTGGGGAAGAGTTTTGAACATACCATGGACCACCAGGAAAACAAATAGGTTTGTCTTGGAGAGAGTGAAACCAAGTTTCCCTTTCGAGGCTAGGATTTTGAAGCTCCGTCTTACATACTTTGGGCATGTGGCCAGGAGAGCCCCATCCTTGGAGAAGGACATCTGCTTGGAAGGGTGGAGGGACAGCACAGGAGAGGAAGAGCCCAGATTAGATGGATTGATACAGTAACTGGGGCAGTCAGTGAGACTGACTCAGGACAGGGAGGGAGGGTCGCTCTCAGTCACAGGAGACTCAGCATCACATAACAACATCGTTAAGTAAATTTTGGCAAAGTGAATCGTAATATAACAAGACAATAATTCACTGTGACCAAGGCCACAGTCTAAGAATATAAGTTTGATGTAGCTTTGTAAACATTAGAAAATCAATATAAAGTATGGAAAGAGAAAAACCAATAGATGAAAACTATGTGATCATTTTAGTGAATCCAGAATAAAAACACCTGACAATATTTATATCCAGAATAAATGATAACATTTACTGTGAATTCAGAATTAAAAAACCCTCCAAAATCCCAAAACAACTCTCAACAAATGAGAGACAAATGACACTTTCCTAATTTGAGAAGGAATTGATGCATTGGAGTTGTGGTGCTAGAAAACAGCCAGGAGAACCAGCAGATCAGCGTTAGACGAAACACAGCCACAGACTCCTGAAAGCAGGGGTGACTACAGTTCAATTACTCAGGACACATTATCACGGAAGGGTAGTTTCTAGAAAAAGGACATCATCTTTGATAAAGTGGAAGGTCAGTGAAAACATAGGAAACCTTCAGTGAGGTGGGTCCACACAGTCACCTCAGCAGTGGGCTCGACATGTCAAAGGTTGTGGAGATGGAGCAGTACTGATGGTGACAGAAATCACAGACAATGCAGAAAACTCTGTACTTAGAGCAAAACCTCAAGTGTTTTCCTTTATAATTTGAGCAATAGAAGGGTGCTCATTTCACCACTTTAATCCACCTTGCTACAGCAGTTAGGAGAGAAAGGAATAAAAAGCATAAAGATTAGAAAGCGTTAGTGTCATTCATTGATGATATGATTATGAATACAAAGTACCCTCCTCCCCACCAAAAATTACCATAAATTGTAGGAAAGTTGCGAACAATTGCCACATACAAAATAAACACATACATACATACCAGAAACAAGCAGTTGGAAATTTTATCTACTGACAATATCATCAGAAGAAGCATGTTTCTAATGTCAAATCTAATGAGAGATGTTTTAGGCCTCCATGGAAGGGATGTTAAGGGTTCTGGCAGTGTAGTCTTTCACGTGTTTTGTTGCTCACCCAAAGGCAGCATGATTTGAACCTACCACAACTTGGTGGGAAAGATAGGCCGTCTCCTCCGGTTAAGATGCACTCATTTCTTCTTTATTCCTTGTTGACAAAGTCAGAAGTGTTTGGTTTCCTTCCAGGAAACCAAAGGTTGTAACTCACACAGAGGGAGATTGCCTATTTTTTGACTGTGGTGTATTTGAACCAACAGAGAGAGGAGCTGCTTTTGAGTTCGCACTGTAGCACTCTGTGGACTGGGTTACCAGGACTCCTGTGAAAATTTAAATCCACTGGAGGGTCACAGTGAGTCAGTGGTGGTGAAACAGGAATGATACTAAACCATTTCAAGAGCTAGTAAATAAGATGTAAACAAATGGGTGGGGGAAATGGGGAAAGCTCCATGGGTGATTCAGAGATGTCTGTTCTCAGTCAACATCCAAACCAGTGATTCCCCCACCCTCTTTTCTGTGGGTTGGGATTGAAATGGGCAAGTTGATTTCAAGGGCTAAGTTTAATAAACTTTTGAAGAAGAACAAAGTGAGAGTGTTCGCTGTGTCAGATACCAAGGCGTATTATATATAAAGCAACTGTAGTTAAAACAGCGGAGTCTCAGTGCTGGCACAGATACAAATGAACAGAAACAACAGACCTGCACATAACTGAATTATCCTCTGTTCCCTGTGTCTATCATCTCTTACACCTCTGGTAAAAGTACAGAAAGAATAATTTGCCTATATACCATTTGCAAAAAAATAAAATCAAGCCATAAACACAACTAATCATAATGTGCAAGGTAAAACAATAAAAATATTTTAAATAATATAGGAAAGGAAAGATTTCTTAAGCAGATTCCATTAAGAGAATAGAAGATGCATCAGCCCACATTTTGTGTCACATCCACCCAATAGTGACAGTCAGATGGGAAAGAACAGATTAGTTGCAGAGGCTAGAACAGCCGTATCCACATTCCTTTAACCCAAGAATTGCTCTTGAGTGAGATCGTGGTCAAACTCTACACTTGCAGCTTTGCCAGAGGCTTGTGCTTGTGAACTCAAGTCTGACAGGCCATGGGACACAAGGCACCACTGGGCGTGGTATGGAATTATTACGCTCTGATGCTGAGGTGTCTGTAAACTGGGTTGGCATCAGTTGGTATCACTGATTGACGGCGTGTCCCTCTCTGTCCCCAGAGCCTGCAGCGGTGTTTGCCAAGCAGCAAGCAGCACAGAGCAAGGTGCAGGCCGAGGCGGGGGCCAGCGCCACGCTGAGCTGTGAGGTGGCCCAGGCCCAGACAGAGGTGACGTGGTACAAGGCTGGGAAGAAGCTGAGCTCGAGCTCGAAGGTGCGCATGGAGGCCACGGGCTGTGCTCGGCGGCTGGTGGTGCAGCAGGCGGGCAAGGCGGACGCCGGGGAGTACAGCTGTGAGGCTGGGGGCCAGAAGGTCTCCTTCCACCTGGACGTCACAGGTGGGTGACCATTAGCCTTCTTTGAGGAAAATGATGGGGCTGACTTATCCCCTCAATGGCCTTAGAGTTCCCATCCTCCCACCATCCCATGTTCCTGCCTTCGGTTGGGAGCAGTGGAATATGTTACAAATGGGCGTGTACTGAAGGGAGAGGGGCTGTTCTTCCCCTCAGGTGGTTGTGGGGAGGAATTAGTCACACAGTCCCCGACTGTGCCCACAACCCTCCTTGTCTCTTTGGTCCCAAGACTATGGCTGTGTCTGGTGCTTTGGTTATGAGTCAGACCAGGTGTCTCTCGTCTGGGATATGTGAATATCTGTCTGTTGTCTAGTCTGGAAACTTGCACAGGCTCTCACCCAGCACCACATGGGCACCGCACTATCAAGGATATGTGAATCCTGTTGAGTCCAGGGAGGGGAGATTTGGGTCACCCAGTCATACTGACATTCTCTCAGGTCTAATCTTTGAATTGTCACTCTCTGGGTGCTCTGCTACCCACTGTCTTCCTTTAAGAAGCCCTCTGTGCTCCTGTTTGCATGGAAACTAGATCCATGTGTTGTAAAGTCTATCCAGAGCATACGCAGAGAGGATTGCTAGATATGTATGCTCCCGTGAAGTTTGGAATTCTCTTTTTAAAGCAAATTGTATTTTTCCTTTATCTTCAGTTAACATTCTGTGTAAAATTCACCTTAGAATTAGGGAAAGCTAGTTAATGGCACGTTAGCTGCCTTGGTGATGAGGTGTTGCCATGGCAGCAACCCCTCACTGACTGTACTGCCATTGCCGGTTTGTAGAAAAGTCACTTTCTTTTCCTTTGGTTGAGAGGCGGGAGGTCAAGTGGGGCTGAAGTTCCCTACCTGAACACTACGAGTCATAACAGGCTCACATTCTATCTTTGTACAGTAGTGCCTTGTGGGCATAAACACCAAACACACTGAGATATGTAGAGCCTGATCCTTGCCACAGCAAAATTACCAATAATTTTATACAACTACTATAGAAAAGGAAGAAGGATGGACAGTCTCCTCCCATAGGATTAACCGCCTCTGAAAACCCACTGGAGGGTCTGCTATGGGTCAGTTCCCACTCGATGGTAAACAACAACAACAATATTGAAAAAGGTTTTTAATTATTTAAGAAGCAGTAGGCAACTCTGGCAATTCTATAGCCATTAAAACAATTCTCCTAAGAGTTCAAAATTCACAGAGCAAAGTTGAAACACACACATATTATTCTGGAAAAGAATTATTCCAGGACCATAGAGAAACTGTAGGGAGCCCAGGGGCCCTAGTGTTAGGAAGGGCACTGAATCCCCAGAGGCTTGCATTTCGAATCTGCCAGTTGCTCTGTGGGAGAAGTGAGGACAATCTCCTCCCAAGCCATTTACTGCCTCTGAAAAGCTGCAAGAGGGTCAACTGTAGGTCATTTCTGACTGAATGGCACACAGCAACAGCAAGAACAATACGGAGAATATTGCAGAGAATAAGTAATACATTTTCTGAGTTGTTCTATGTAATTAACTTGACAGTGATGAAAAATATGACAAAATACGATGAATTTAAATTCTGGACCAATTTATGGGTTTGAAGGCCACTATTCTAAAAGAAGTTTTGTCAAAGTAAATGTAACAATATAAAAGAAGATCATGCGCTGGACCAAGACCACAGTCTAGAAATTGCAAGATTGATGTGATATTATAAACATTAGAGAGTCAATATAAAGTAGGAAGTAAGAAAAACAATAGAGGAAAACTATGGGATTATTTCAATAAATTCAGAATAAGATCACTTGACAAAATATGATATCATACATTCAGAATCAATGTTTGATGACGTTTGGCATCAATTCAGAGTAAAGAAAAACCCCAAACCCAAAACAACCCTCAGCAAACCAGAAACAAATGACACTTTCCTAATTTGAGAAGGAATTGATGCATTGGAGTTGTGGTGCTAGAAAACAGCCAGGAGAACCAGCAGATCAGCGTTAGACGAAACACAGCCACAGACTCCTGAAAGCAGGGGTGACTACAGTTCAATTTTACTCAGGACACATTATCACGGAAGGGTAGTTTCTAGAAAAAAGACATCATCTTTGATAAAGTGGAAGGTCAGTGAAAACATAGGAAACCTTCAGTGAGGTGGGTCCACACAGTCACCTCAGCAGAGGGCTTAACATATCAAAGGTTGTGGAGATGGAGCAGTATCATTCTTTGTTCCCTTACACATAGTGTCACCACGAGACGGAGCCAAGTCATGGCAACTGATAGTGACAGAAATCACAGACAATGCAGGAAACTCTGTACTTAGAGCAAAATCTCAAGTGTTTTCCTTTATAAATTTGAAGAGTGCACATTTCATTACTTTTACCCACCATAGGACAGCACAGTAAAAGAGAGATAAATAAAAGGTATGATAGGTAGAAAACATTAGTGTCATTCACTGATGATGTGATTAGGAATACAAAATATCCTCTCCCTAAAAAATCGCTATCAGTTGTAGGGAAGTTGAGAACAATTGCCACGTACAAAATACATGTAAACACCCATCTACCAGCAACAAGCAATTGGAAATCTAGTGACAATATCTTCAGAAGAGGCATGTTTCTAATCCCAAATCTAATGAGGAATGTTTCAGGCCTCCATGGAAGGGATGTTAAGGGTTCTGGCAGTGTAGTCCTTCGCGTGTTTTGTTGTTCACCCTAAGGCAGCGTGATTTGAACCTACTCAGAGGCAGAAAGATAGGCCGTCTCCTCCAGTTAAAATGTACTTACGTACTCCTTCATCACCGTCGAGTCAGAACGTCTCATAGCTGACCCTGCAGTGAGTTTTCGGGAGGCTGTGACTCACATGGGAGGAGATTGCCCATCTCTCTCCTGAGGAGCCATGCAACACCGTAGGGACTGGGCCATCAGAGGCCTGTTATGAGTAACCTTCAGTAACCCCATGGAGGTCAGTGAGAGTCACTACTGACTCAACACCAGTGAAATGAGAATGTTAGTAAACAGTTGTGAGAGCTTGTCAATAGGATGTAAATGAATGAGGAGAAGGAATATCCAGAGATTATTCATAGATGTCCATTCTCAGTCAATGTCCCAAATGAAGAATTTTTTCTTTTTTT